CAGGCGGAGATTGAGCGGGTGAGGAAGGTGCTGCCCTGCTAGCACTGCTGGGGGCTGCTGTGCCCACCCCTCTGCGGCCCCAGGGGTGGCACATGGTGCTGCGGGAGCTGTGCCGGTGCTGTGCCATGTGCCCCCCAGCCCCGCTGCCTCCAGCTCCGTTCTGCACCGATTGAGCCCAAACACCCACCCTGCACCCAGGCACTGCTTTCTGCAGCAACAGCCCCTGGGTGTATAGATATTGTTTAAAATAAACTATATTTTGGGTACGGAGTGCTGCTGGGCTGTGTGGGTGCTGCAGAGGGCAGAGCCCTGGGGCTGCCACGTTCTTATGGGCTTGGGCAGGGCTGGGCTGGTCCTGCTGGGCACGGGGGGGGGTCCCACCATGGCACAGGGGGTCCTGCCCTGGCATGGGGGGGGTCCCACCAGGGCTGGCTCACTGCAGAGCCCAGGGCAGGAGCCTGCAGTGCTCAGCCCCAGGTGCTGGCAGTGGCCATGCCAGCAGTCACAGCCAGGGCTGCAGACTGTGACAACCAGTCCTGGGGGGGGCCGAGTGCCCCCCACCATCCCCCTGCACCTTGTCCCAGGCTGGGATGCAGAGTCAGGGCCCGCAGCAGGGCTGGGTCAGCACCTCCTCCTCCTCCTCATCCTCCAGCCCCCGCACCGTTTCCCAGCCCAGCCCCAGCCCCGGCACATCCTGGCCTCCAGCCACTGGCGTGGGGCTGGGAGAACATCTGGAAAACATCTGGATCCTGCTGGCGCTGGCGGCACTGGGGACCGGCCTGGGAAGGAGCTATTTTTATAAAGCTGTCGGGGAGGGGGCTGGGGAGGGGGCAGCAGGGCCCCCGCACCCCATGGGGCTGGGCTGGTGCAGGGACCGTGGGCAGGATGCGGCCCAGCCCTGCGGGGAGCAGCCCGCGTCCCCGGGGAGCACCCGCCGCCCCAAAAACCCAGCGGGGAAACATCCGCCCCGGCCCCGCCGGGAGGGTGCTGGGTCAGGGCCAGGCGGTGCCGGAAAGGACCCGGCTAATTTTAGTGGGGCCAGCGGGGAGGGAATTGGCCTGGGAAGGCAGCCGT